TTCACGGAAAATTCAGTGTAATTTGGCCCTACATATTCATATTGGATTGGAAGTTCAAATAAATAGAGGAATTCTCTTCTTCATGCTGCTTAAAATTCTGGAATTTTACTGAGTTTTCAGTGAAAATTGCATTCAGTATTACTGTCCTGACAATTAGACGTCAACTATCTATGAAATTTAATTTTTTTTCCAAAAATGTACCGTTCTTAAATTTTTGGGTGAAATTTTCGTATACGTCTTGGAAATTTTTACGAAACGACAGTTCCCCCGGAATTTCATGAAATTTCGCAATTTGAAATTTAGAATTTGATGAGAAAAGGAATGAGAACTGTGAATTTCGGTTGTGTTATTCCATGAAAATGAATAGAAATTGGAAAAATTTCAGTCAAAAATTTAAAAAAGTGTCAGATTTTCTCTCTGTCATCAAAAAAATACTTTTTTGACATAAGCAACACTTGTTTGAGAATCTTGTCATTTATTTCTCAGTGCATTAGAATTTTAATAAAAAGGGTAATACCCTAGACGATTGCCAAAGCTCACAGCTACCTTTCAAAACATTTATGATCATCCTGAATTCACCTTCATCCTCATGTTAACCCATTTCTTCGGATTGTAAATTGAAGAAAAAAAAAGAGAATAATTTGGCTCTTTGCGCGACGCGTGGGTGTACGGAGACATCCCGTTGATTTCCAAGGTGCCTTGTGACCGTTTCCAAGGAGAAAGTTTATCGTATTAAACTCGTCGTTTCATGTTTGTTCTCTTGGATCGTCCCAAGTATCAATAGTCCCTCTTGCTCGCAGCAACAACCACTGGCAAGCCAAGTTGAGAATCCGAGAAAGAAAGTTGTTTCGAGTTAGCATTTGCCACTGTGATTTTCTCCAGCTCAGCCACCAAGTTCTTTTTGGCTCTTGGCTTATATGTGGAATACTATATAGAAGGTGTAACGATGCTTGGATTGCCCTAGTTTGAGACCTAGTTCCGGAGATATACCCGCAGGCATCTGGCTCAGTTTCACTTCTGCTTGCATTTTTATTTTTTTCGTTATTATGCTTTTTTTTCGTGCTTTGTTCCGTATTCTCAAGTTCAATACACTGTTGGAAATCTTCTTGACATTTGGGTAATAGCTGTATTCGAGGGGTTACATTATTCATTGTTAACTATAATGTTTCATTGTTAAATGCTTTGTGAGGGAATTCGAGAATTTCGAGAATTCTTTCGAATCCTCAGAAGAACTCCAGAAATCTCATTTTGAATTCATCGGAATATGGAGAGAAAGGCATATATGAACTATTGGAAACCTTGCAATTCCGCTCTATTTGCTAGAAAGTATATGAAAGTACCTCTGGAATCCTCAGAAATCCTTTGAAATCCAAAACATATTTCAGAATTCTTGAAATATTGAAATCTTGAAATTCCATGTACGAATTATTTAGGAGTGATTGCACCGCTAGGAATGTATTTAAATTTTGAAAGTTGTGAAGTTGGATTCAATTTAATATCCAATTGTCGCCGAAATTTCTTATTCATTTTGGAATGTTTTTTGTTTTGGGCAATTATTTGTATTTTAATGACAGATTGAATTCTCAAACTCATTGTGACAATTAAACATCATATTTAATTCAATTTTCGATAGATTGAAAATTCAGAACAATAGTTACCAGTATTTAAAAAATTTTGATTCATTTTTGCCATGTGGACCCGAAAATTGCAACTTCATTAAAAATTTTAGAAATTTGTCAGTAACAAAATGTATGGAAATTTCAGTTGAATTAGTGGTGGTTAAAAAATCCAATATTTTTTTCTATTAGTCTATTCTATTTACTTTTAATCGTAAATTGATTAAAAAAACCTAGCGTTTTCCGTAGGAAATTGTACCGACAATTCTATTAATTTTTTCCGTTGATTTGTCGTGATAATAGATGAAAAAATGTCAACAGAATAAATTGCATTGATATCTAAATCTAAACTTTTTTTTGGATTTTTCTTACGAAACATTTATTAAATACTGCACACCAAAATAGTATAATTGCTAATAGAAATCTCCACAGAAAAAAACCAAAACTCCAATAGAATTCTGAAGTTCCAATAGAAAATTATAAAGTGCAAATAATTCGAAAAAAATTGTTCTCAAAACCTCTCCATTCGAACCTCTCTTCTTGTGCATAAAATATTGTAGTCTGAAACGATCACGTGAATGAGTCATCAGTCTCGTGGGAGGGAATTTTTCCCTGGAGTTTTGAACTTCCTTGTGTAATAAAAGTCCTTCAAATATAGAATTCAGTGGTTTCTTTTTTGTTGAACCCTGGTTGGTTTTTTTGAAGGTAGTTTCTAGAGAGTTCATTGAACCACAGCTGTGCGACCATGGAGACTAAATTTACGCTCTCATCGCACAAGCCAAATACTCAGCCGTCCCTGACCCGCGTCACGGCGTTCAATCAGGAGAGATCTCGCATATTTTTGATAATAGGATTCAAGCGGTTCATTCAAATGGCTGATAGTTACTCAAGGCCACCCTGTTCAAAATTTTTTTTTTAAATTCAAGTATCAGATGGACATCAATTTCCAATGCTGTCGATTTTTAAGTCTTCTTAAAGTGGTGTGAATAAATTCCAGTTGAGTCGTTGAGTATAACAAGGAAAAATAAATTCAGGAAACCTAAACAAAGTTATTCATCATTGATAATTTTCCAATGAATTCTAACTTTGATGAGTGTAAGAAATAGATCCATTAAAGTTGTTTTTTCAACTATTTTTTCAAACAATAGGCTCTCGGTTGACTAGGGTGTTTCCCCATAGTACGCCATTTCGGCACGCAGAAACATCAATTATTTATCACAGAAGTTTGACACTGACAATAATTTTCATATTGGGCACAGAATTGTTATTCATTTTTTTCTAAGTTGGGAAGATTTTTGCTAGGTTTCAATCTTTTCCCTAACGTCGAAAAGTTATATTATTTATCCAGTCACATGTATACCGGGGTCCCTGCATTTTGTTCTCTTCCCTTGAGTAATTAAACAAGTTTATGAAAAATATCAATAATATTTTAAATAGTGTCATTATTACAACCACGAAAAATTAATCTTCTTATAAGACTGTGTTATTTTTACACTTCTAGATTGATTGTTATCAATAATACTAGACTGCCGATTGAGCACATACTCAAGCAGGACGTGTACGCGTATGAAAAAATCGTATAGACATTGTCATTGGCATGGAATGTTCCCTATATAATTACTTCTCAAGATATCCCACATTTTGTCTTGATAAATTATGACAGTGCCGAAATAAGTACATAATATGGGAGAAGATAATCGAAAATTTAGTGGTTGTCGGATCATATCGAAAGAACAAATGTTCGCCACCAATGGATTCTCCCTTAATTAGGTTAATTTTCTCTTAAAGGACTACACATATGTGTATCTCACGTATCAGCATTATTAATACGTCATTTCATCTCGGTATGCTCGTATTCAGCATAATCATAGAAATTCTTGAATCTCGAAATGTTAATTCTCTCTCGACTTCTTGTATACTTCGCACAAAAAGTCTCATGCTGGGTAATTATCAGTGAACAAGTTTCATGACGCAAGTGAGATATACTTAAGAATTTTTTTCCTCCGAGTGTTGGAAGTTCAATAATTCAGTTTTTCATGTTTACTGATCATTGACATTACATTCACTTGAATTTTCAATGCATTTTTCAAGATTTTCAATAAATTACATGCTCATATGACCTTCAAAATTGGAAATTCGTCCAAAACCTCAGAAATTAACTAAATCTTCAATACAAAAGATAATGAAAAATTAATTTCTACTATTCTTTGTTAAAATTTCATGACTTTTTACACGAAATTTCAAGAGTTACTGATCATCGACGTTACATGCAATTCAATTTTTCAGAGATTCAAGATGTTTAGTAATAAATAACAGTTTGAGGATTTTATCGAACGTGGGAGATATACATTAGCTAAATTTTTATTCGACTTTGCAATCATTTGCCGCGCTGTTATTTGAATTTCATCAAATTCGAATTTTACCACTCAGAGAGGAACGCGAATCGCTATCCATTTACTCCCAGTGGTTCAGGAGATGAGATTCACAGCTCAACAATGTTTAATTAGCCCCTCACGGACGGGGCCCTTCTGTTACCAAGTGTAGTGTGTGCTCAATACGACTCCAATTCGATTATTTCTAATGAATGGAAAATTATGAAACCGGTATCTAATTGACGCCACAGTATTCTGCTTTCCAATTTTGTTTGTCTGATCAAATTATTCTTCATAGATTTGGAAATAATCAATTTTGAAAACAAGCGTTCACATTCGCATGGGTCGATACGATGCATCGAACCCGTACGTAAGGGATCAAATTCAAAGAAATTGCGAGGCTCATCAAATCCATCGGGTGAGATTTACAATAAATTCCATTCTCATATGACCTTTAAAATTGGAAATTCATCCAAAACCTCAGAAATTGCCTAAATCTTCAATACAAAAGTACATGAAAAGTCCGTGTCTATTATTCTTTGTTAAAATTTCATGACTTTTTACACGAAATTTCAAGAGTAATTTTCTCACAGTGCAAGTGCTAAACTGAGAATAAAGTGGGATAAGTAACCAATGAATAAGGGAAACTTAAAAACACGAAGGTACGGCACTTGAATCTCTAATCAATGAGAGAACTCGTCTCCACCAAGTTAAGGATTTCACACATAAAATTGTAGTAAATCAAATTGCGAAAATGAGACGAGTTGCGCTGATCGGTTGGTATTTTTATTTCATTCACCACGTAGTTATCACCAAATTCGGTGAATTATCATTTATAATGAAATTCTCATTGCGACAGCGAGTGCTGCGGAGACTCCACGCTCGATCGTTGGTAGAGTTAGGACAGATCCAACAGCTGAAAATAGATAAAAGCAGGAAAATAGGTATCGGGAGTTTGAGGGAATTGAATTGATAATAAATCGAGACTATTTTTCTTGTATATTAGGTACAAAATGTATTAATTGATAAACGTGGAGTAAACTTGTATGATCTACAAGAACCACGTTGAAAAAAAAAGAAATCTTACATCAAATATTTTTGATAAAATTAAACATTCACAAGTCTTGCGCACGTTCGTACAAACATCACTTATATTTAAACCTTAAATCTAAATTTGTTTCTTATGTATATCGCACACGGTAACGACATATACACACTGCAGATAAAACGCAGTATCTCTTGAATATTAAACGCTCAATATTCGCACAATTTTTCATCATCAAAAATACACTATTAATATCTTCAATCTTTAATTTCTCATCATCGTGAATTTTTTCCATTTTTATTTCAATTTATCTCACGAACGGAAGCGACACTCGCAGCTCTCAGCAGTTTACTTTAGCCGTTCAACTTTTAAAACGAAAGAAAGAATGAGAGGTGGGAGTGAAGAGAAAGTTCCTGTGGGTAGGAAGGCGACAATCAGCCACTCATTACGTATTAAAAAACCTTATTTATCTCCCCTAAACACAAGGATAAATCGTAAAATCAAAGTCCGCAGATTCATTCATAACTCAACAGCCTCCAAAGTACATCATATCTTATCTTACCTTACAATAGTAAATCATAAACCTTTATCATTCGGCAAATCACTGTGAAGCAAACCACCACAAACGTGAGAGAACATCAATTTAAAAATTCAACAGTACTATCATTTTCCCATAACTCTTCCTGTTTGAAAAAAAAAAGAAACGTAAATGTACAAATTGCCGCAGCGTATGAGGTATAAGAGTTCAATTTATTTTGCAATTTTTAATGCATCACTTAGTATTTATGAAATGTCTGCCCGTAGTATTACTTTTAGTTCAAAGTTCATTCGACTAGTCATTTGAAATCATTGGAAAGTTCAAAGATCACCCATTATTATTAACTCTTAATGTTAACGGTATAAAATAATGACATAATGAAGGGGAAAACTTCACGCAATTGAATGATAAATTTAAGGATCGTTAATCCTTTATTTTAGTCGTGAAAAATTGACTCTAGCATGTAAATGTACATTTACAAAAATATCGATAATCAACATACCGACAGAAACACATCCCATTTCAATGAATTTTCCCTTCTCTCTTTCGTTTTATTTTTCACTGATCAAAATTTCAATATTGTTTGCTGAGAACTCAGCACTCAGACAGCAAATAACAACGTTAATACTCTATTTGTATCATTCGGATTTATTGATTCAACGGAATATCCACCTGAGCTTTATCAGACAAAAATAATTGACACACCCACTCGAGTATTCGTGGATCGAGTGTTCTGTCGTGCTCGAATAATGTCACCCGAAATATTCCACACAATCAATCTCACTGAAATTGAACTGTCGTGATCGAGACTGACAGGGTCTCGTGATATGCTCGAGAATATTCTAATTCCCTCATAGAGTATAAAAAAATTTTCTCAATGGAATAGCAACTCTAGATATAACTCTTGACGTCTCAGACCAAAAATATGATAAATATTTCCTTTTCAAAAATATGAGTATAATAGACTTTGAGCTTTCGCCTCTTCTAACTCCCTATTCAACCTCTCAAAAGTCCCCAACAATACCGAAATGAGATTCACAATGGGCTTGCATTTATTAAAAAGCTAAACTCGAGACACGAGGGCAGGACCGACCCTTGATTATTCACATTTAACTGGAGAAAAAAGCGTAACGGTTATGCGGTTCATTGCACATGAGCGCAGTCCTCTTTTTTCCAATGAATAATTCCGTCCTCACAATTAGAGGGTGAAAGTGTACTCCATTTAAAAAGAAACAAAATTAAAAAAAGCTACTCACAAAAACGTTTTATCAATGAAATTTGTATACATCGATACCGCGTGCCTTCGTTGGATACATTTGAATAAATACGATGCCATATTTACAAGTTACTGAACGAAGATGATATGATAAAAACCTATCTGTCATTCTTGCACGTGCGATGATGAGAATAAGCACATTTCCTTGTTTACATTTTTCCTAAAGACGAGCACACCACGTAAGTACATGGAAAATAATACGTGTCAAATCCACATAAGCGTCGATATGTATCACGTGTCACCCACGTTTTGATTCAAAATAAACACTCGCATTGACGCTCAAGAGACAGATATGTATAGGAGGGATAATGGGGTAATGATAAAAAAATGATTATTAGAGATATACTCCAAAGTCAGGCAGTTTTTGTTTCGAGTGAGTGAAGTTGAGGGAATGGGGATGATGGCGATGTATACATACATATCACAGATTTCACTTGGAACTGAACACTGATCACTAAATTTCCTGTAAGTGACGGGCTCTAGCAAGATCGAGTTCAATTCTCCTGAGCATAAGATCAACCGCACTTCTAGCATCCTCCACCGAGTCATGTTTAGATACTTGAATTTCACGTTGAAGAAGTCTCTTGGCAAGTGTCTTAAGACTACTTCTGTAAGGATACCCAAGATAATGGGGAAACGCCACACACGTATCGATGACTGTTGTGTGAACTAGCTTCAGTGCTCGAAGATCATTCTCCAAGCCATGACCAATGAGTATAGTTTCAGCATGAATAAAACTCATGAGATCTTTCTGAACATCACTCAACGTTTTTTTTGCACGTGACAATGCTTTAGCTGTAATACCACTGAATCTCGTGTTGTAATCAAGTACATCGACATCAGGCTTCACTAATGTATCATAAATAATATCACCATTCATTCCCACGACAGTGACCTTAGCCAATTCGAGACCACGTCTTGTGAAACACATTTCACAGTCTAGTGCATAAACACCATAATTACCGTCAGGTGGTATAACATGAGAAGGTTGGGTACGAGCGTAATCGATAAAGGGTCCATTGCAACCACGAACAAGACCAGACCACACGTGCACTTTGGCCGTTGTACATCCACGTGCGTGTTCATGTCCATTGCAGCACTCCCATTCATACCCAATGCTGGTATTTCTCAACTTTCCCCAGTGATAGATACATCGCTCTTCGGTGATGTAGTGGCCAGTTGAGCGATTCATGTAAAAACCCTTGGAGCATCTAACACAGGGCCGCACAACAACTTGCGGTGCTGAGGGCTCTGGTGGCCCCCATAATTCATGTATGAATCTCCAGTCCCTTCTCGTGTTTTCAGAGTAGTCTGAAGACGAAGAAGATGACGATGATGATTCAACAATGTCGGAATTTTTGTCACTGTCTGAGAGACTCTCAGGCTCCAAGTCTGAGTTCTCGACTGACGATCCACTACCATTACCACTGTCCACCTCCAACTCGGCACTGTAGGAATTTGAATTTGTGCTGGGAACAAATTCCTGGGCATTAACGTCTAGGAGATGCTGCTGCTGCTGCTGTTGCTGTTGTTGCTGCTGCTGCTGCTGACTGCAGTTGTAAAGACGATGACCCAACGGATGATGATTCAGTATCACTACAATACCCGGATAGTAACTGCACTCCACGGGATAACCGAGATGCGCAAGCTGCATTCCACCTAGAGTGTATGTTCTCAAAAGTGTTTCCAACTCGGTGTCACTCAAGTGATTAAGCTGAGCCCTCTGTTGGCTGCGTTCAGCTGTTGCATTGTGTGATTTTTTGCCGTTGACACCTGACGTTTTAGAGCTCTGGTTGATGCTCTTCGATTCGCTCTTTCCCGCACTTTCACTCGTATTTCGATTCTTGTTGGCAATTTGGGCCTGTTTGCGTGAGTTTTTAGGACTGTTTGATGCAACTGAGTCTAACGATCCCGTTGGGGATTCTGTTAAGTACCTGCGCTCGTGCTGCTGCAGCCTGTGATGATGACGATGACGCGGGGGTGGAGTTACGTTGCTATCATCCTCCGGGTCATCTTCACGGTCACGACGCTGCTCTCGTGTTGCTCGTGTGCGATTCTTTCGCTGGCGGCGGCTGAGAATAGCACGGTCACGCTCTTTTGGGGCCGGTTGGTCCATGCTTGGTGATGAGGCTGTACTCGATGGTGTCGACATTTCTGAGGGCTTGGGGTGTGCTGACGAGGCTGCTCCCTCCTCCAGGTCTTCTGGCACCAAACCGCAATCTTTATGTGCACACACAAAACAGACGTGTAAGACATTCGCTTTTCTTTGTTATTTGGGGAGTTTTTTTTTTTTTTGGCAAGAGAAGAGAGATGAAGGCCTACGTGGGATGATTGGCACACGCACACGACACACATGCAGATTATTCTTCAAAATATACGGAAGTCTTTGGTTTTATTTGTCAAACGGATTTTAGGCGTTATTTGCACTCCAGTGAGACACTCCATTGACGGTTAGTTTTGGATTGATTTCGGTGAGGGGGAAATTCGCAAGAAATAATTCACGGACTTTTGGTATTGGATGAGCGAGTTTGAATTGACGGAAAATCCGAACTGTCGGAGGACCGAAGGCTGAGTGAAACTCGAGGTAGAAGCGTGACAAATAAAATAGTGATGAGGTGGGGAAGACTCTGATACGGTGACGTCCGGCTTCGCGGAAGTCCGGGAAGTATGACAACACAAGTAGTTGAAGCGAGTGTTGAAGAAAGACGCTGATTCAGCGGGAGTTATTAATGTTGACTTCTGACAACATCGAAACAGAGATTTTCTTTCAGGGCAGTCAGTGTCGAAAGAAGTTTTTGGGGAGAGGGTGGGGGATTATGGTGGGGAGATGGCAATTGTCCTTGGGAATATGCTGCATTGGAGTTCATGGGAAAAATTGAAATATGTGGAGATTGAATTAAATGGAAATGGAACGATTCATTCAGACAGAATGAATTTATGTTTCCAGGGATTCAAAGATAATTGCGTTTTTTTTTTTCATATTAAAGTAGATGAGGGCGTTTTAATTGGCGATTCGTTCTGAGAAGACTGGTGGAGCAAAATTGAAGTCTTTGGGATTAAAAATTTCTCGGAAGTCGATAGGAGATAGTTTACATCAATATTCGGGTCATTGTTCTGCAGGTGATTATACCTGGTAATCTTTCGAGAAACACCGAATCAATTCACGAGAAATGTGGTACTCTAGTCGTAATCTTCCCGGGATAACCTGAATACGTGTAAAAACGAGTGTGTGTGTGTGTGTGTGTGTGTGTGTGTGTGTGTGTGTATGCCACGAGGTGAGATAGAAAGGCAGGATGATAGAAAAAAAAGGAAAAATTCATAAGAGGTTGGATGAGGAATAGAAGGGTACGACGATAACGGGATGAGACTCTATCCCGGTTCGCACGGATGTCCAATACCGTTGGATCATTATGAAATCATCGTCGAGCTGTACTACCTTCCTCTTTTCGTTTTTTTCCGTTTTCTTGGATGAGTGAGGTAAGAGACTAACTGGCCTGGGGGAAATACTTCCTCCCTGACACGTAATTCTGAGTGAGTGACTGATGTATTTTGAATTAGATGATTATCATTCTATCACTGGTAAACAGTATTGGCGAATTGAGAAGCGCGATTGGCGGTTGTAATTTCATCAGATATCTTCTTCGTTTTTTAGTTTCCAAGATATTCGAAAAGGGTAAATTTTCATTTTAAGGTTGTTCATTTTTCCAATTTTTGAATAAATTTCCCGCCGAAAGTTATCGATATTTTCCAAAATCGAAGCGCTTTCATCTCCAGGAAATGATGAAGATCAATGTGCTTTGATTTAAAAAAATATTAATAACTTTAATATTTTTCGAAACCATTATTAATATTGTATTAATTATTAATAGCAAATTAATAAGTAGTAACTTTGAACAAAAAAATTGTTTCAAAATAATCGGGGCGAAACGGGGACTCTTTCATTAAATTTCGGATCGAATATTGAAAAAGTAAATTATGTTTTATATTTTTCTTTTATTAAGTTTCCAGAATTTTTGTTGTCGTTGAACATCAGGGTTTCTATTTGACGACATTCGACTCTACACCCAGAAAAAAACACATTCTCAAGCAACTCTTGCTGGAACCAAAAAATCGAAAGTTGAAAATTACCAAGAATGAAAAAAACTGTGGCTTAACATTGGAAGAGTAGTCTGGAGTAAGATTTTTTTCGCAAAAGTATATTTAGCTCAAAAAAATTAATTTGCATGTTTTTTTCGCGATACGTTCAATTAAATTTTTCTACGGGGAATCACACAGATCATTACTGTTGACTTTCCTGTCCGATAAAGACGAGCTCAGATATTTCGTGATTAGGGATATCCAAGTATTTTGGATATTTTTTCTTCAGTGTAATGTTTTTCTACTTTCCTAATCGAATATCAGAGTTTTCAGTTGCGCCCCATTTGACCCTAAATTTCCGGACACTTTACAATGACTTTATTACTTAAACTCTACAGGTCTAAATTTGAATCCTGACATTGATCCGTTAGAAAACATTTTTTTAATCTGGAAGAAAAAAAATTAGAAAGTTTACTTTTAGAGGAAGATTGATGAAATAATTTAAAAAGTTCAATTTTTGATAATTACCAGCATTTTCTATAAATAATTTATAAACAATCAATTTTCCACCGTAAAAATCATTTGTTCGGAATCGCAAGAAATTTAGTCCCGGGTGATTTCATGCAAAAAAAATAAAGTTTACGAAAGTTAAACAATTTCAATTAAGTCTTTCAATTCATTCATTCATATTTCTTTCTGCTACCATTACGGTTTTATAGGCTCCCCATTCGTCTGCCGTGCCTCTCTCACTTCTCTCTTCTGATTTTTTCTGCGCTACCATGAGCCGTTGTACCCCATTCGGGCTAGGACTGCAAGAAAAACCATGGAAAACCCCAGTCGCACAGCCGGCCGATGGTGCAGAGCCCTAATGTGCCCTAATATTCGTATTTTTTTTCAAATATTTCTCACGCAATTCAATTGACAAATTTGATTATTGAAAATGGTTGAATCTATAGTGAGGTCCCCACCAAACTGTAAAAGATACTTGGATATCCTTAATAACAGTATATTTCAGGGCGAGTGCCGTAGGGTTTTGTGCCCGCGTCAAGTTGGCATCCGCGCCGCAGGCGAGGATGCACGGAGAGAAATATTCAAGAAAAATTACGGAACATTTCACGTAATCCGCAAGCGAGAATCGTTTTCAGCGAATTTCTATAGGAATATAAGAGAATAAATCTGAAACGTTCAGTAAATTTTCGGGTCTGTTACCGAAAAAATGCGAAAGAGTCACGTAATTTTTCTGGAAGTTGTAAAATCTAACAGAAACTTCAAGACTTATTATGCCTCAGAACATGAAAATTCCTGGATGTTTAAGAATTTTTACGAAAAGTTCCGGAAAAATTACGGAACGTGTTGTTAAAATCTCCCCCTCACAGTGACTCATGGCTAGCCGTGAGACGTCGAACGGATGAGTAATTTTTACGGAACAGATCGTAGAATTTACGTGACGATTGACACTTTTTATTGAATTTTACTTCGCTCCCAGATTACGTTTCGAAACGTAATTTTTACGTCTGTTTTCTGGTAATTTTTATTGAATATTTCTCTCCGTGTGACAAACCACGCGAGTTAAAAACCCCATGGCACTAGTCGTGAACGATAGTTTTCCGTAGGGATTTTTACTTTCACGAGTTGGGGGGGCGGGCCAATGCCAATCCCCGGGCGCAGAAAAGTGAATATCACGGAAAAATACTGCACCCAATGAACGAGTGACGTTCTACGATACACGTCCCGCGTCACAGCGTGTGAAAATAGTGGCAACAAATAATTATTACGATAGATGTAGCCTCTAAATTATTCAATATTATGATGCGTAGTTCCACTTCCACTCTCACTTGTCCCACGTATTTGATTTTCCCTGCTCGACACGCAAATCAAGTGCTTAAACGATTAACACGAAGGAAGATATGCGTTTTTTTTAACGTTTTATTGGAACTCGGGAGATTTTTCCGCCAGTATCACATGGTTATCTGCGTCTACGTCATATCTGCAGCATTCCGCAGCTCGTTTCACTCATTTTCTTCATTGTCCTCTCATTGGAAATCGCTGGTTTTTTCTCGGAAAACTGAGTGTGCAATTGTGACACTGTGGTTTTCCTCGTGGTATCAAGTCGTTTAACTGATTTTTTTTTCAGAAATTATCCCCTGGCTTTTGAGTACAAAGTCTTTGGGTTTTCTTACAATAGAATTGTCTTATCTCTGTGAACATGTGTTTCAATTATTATCGATCGAATGAATCAAATAAATGGTGGAGATCGGTGATATTCGAGTACGTCGTGAGCACACAATTCAGTATTGATATGATAAAACGAGTTGAGTGGATTTTATTTCGAGGTCAGTTTTTGATAAGCATCTCTAAATCTCGGAGAGATAGTAAAATTATTGTGGCACCGGGAAAAATTCTTCATCATACAAGTGGTAAGGTTGATTGCGTCATGAAATCTATTTACGATTTTAATCAAGTCGCGGGAACTTCTTGGATGTTGAATAATTTGCAATTATTTTATTCTTCAATATTTTATGACCATCTGTTTTCATGAGTATTTTGTGAACAGTTAATTTTTCAACCAAAATGTCATCTGTTGGAAATTGTAACTAGTGCTCATGTAAAAAAAAAAGATTTCCGAAAGTTTGAAGAATTTCCATTATCAGTTTATAAAAAAAGCAATGCTGAAAAAGGTATTCGAACGACGCAGAAGATCCACAAATTTTTCCAAAATTTTCCTACGGAATTTAATTGACGCACTAGAGTAAACGATAAGTAAAAAATAAAAATTGTATTGTATTGTGACTTCGTTACCCTTGAATACAGTTGTTTTTTAAACATTACTAACGAAATCATTTGAGGAAATGCTAATATTTATTCGTGATTCAATAATAGGTAAGTTGAGGTCATTAAATATTTGGACTGATATCAATCACCTTGTGACTGATTTTTTGAGTATTGTCGAAGAACCTCTAATCAGAACATAATGTAATGCTGAAAATATAATATTGAGGGAGACCCCCCTCTATTGACCCCTAAGTCAATTCCAGTCATAAATATCTGTCACTGTTCAGGTAAGAAGAAAAATATCATCAATGTTTCAAAAACAATTATTTCTCTTTCAATGAATTATTCTCAAATTCCCTCCCAATGTATTACCTTTCTTGGAAAAAATCGAAGACTTCGTGACTAATATCAAGACAATGTTGACTTAGCTTGCTTTATGACTTCACGAACAAGACAATGTTTCCTTGAAAGTAATTGATTTTTGCATCATTTTTGACGAAATCATTTGAGGGAATGCAATATTTGAGCTATCATCAATCTTCATTTTATTACGTTCTTAGTGTTTTGAAAAAATGAAAAAACCTGATGAGGGATTTCGTAGGAGCCGAAACGTTGAGTCATCGACAAGAATTCTTTTTTTTTTTTCATCTCAACATCTAATCTCACAAAAATCAACAGGAAAAGGGAATTTAATGATATTATCATGATTCTGAAAATAGTGATTTCCCTTTCAATTTATTACTCCTCGATTCCCTCCCCGATCGAAGTAAATAATAAAATGAAATCCAATTTTTATTGTGAACCAATTCATGACTGCATAACAAGACAATTTATCCGAAAAAAATACAGTAAATCCAGTATAAACTAGACAGAAGACATTTGGTTACGTTTTATTAAAATTGAGAAGTCTACCAGTGCAACGGGGTTTGTTACAGAGGAAAACAGCTCATATTCCTAAGTAACAGAGCCGCAGTAACCCACTCAGTCAAAAGTCGATAACTTTATGACTAATATCACGACAAAGTGAACTTGGTTTGTTTCATGACTTCGCAGACAAGACAATTATTCTTTGAACGTAGTTGATATTTGCATCGTTTTTCAAAAAACCGTTCGCGGGAATGAAATATTTGGGCTATCATCAATCTTCATTTTATTTGTTTCTATAATTCCTTTTTATAAATACAGAATTCTTTTTTTTAATCTCAACATCTAATCTCGCGAAAATCATCCCAAAAAGGGAGTTTAATAATATTATCACAATACCGAGAACAATGATGTCCCTTTCAACTGATTACTCCTCGATTCCCTCCCCAATTAAAGTAAACAATAAAATAAAATATAATTTTTCTGATACCTGCCCAAAAAGTGCACTTTTCGAAGCGGTTTAGTGTGCGTCAAATGAATTCTCGTGCGTAAATCTTCGTTTTACGCACTCGTGCACAAAAACAACTACTTTACCCCACTACCGTTTCGAACAGTGAATTCGGCAGGTATCACAAAAAACGGATGTGTAACACGTGCGTGCAAAAAAGTGGATCTTTACGCACTAGTAACGCAATATACTATTTTACCGTGAAGCAATTGATGACTTCATGACAAGACAATTAATCCCAACAAAAATACAGTAGTTAGGTAAACTCGACAGAAGACATTTGGCGACGTTTTATTAAAATTGAGAGGCCTACCAGTGTAACGGGGTCTGTTACGGAGGTAAAACAGCTCGTATTACCGCGCAATAGAGCCACAGTAACCCACTCTTCGCTCCCGTTACTCACGCTTACGATTCACCGTGGATGCGACCTGGGATCCCCTGTTTCCCCTCTCGTTTCAACGATTTCCTCCGTCTTCTCTCTTTCTCTTTTTCTTTTTTTTCAAACAATGAAACGATGAGACTCGTGACCAGTTGAGAGTCAACGCGGGGTCAAGCACTAACAGATGAACGTGAAATATTTTTTTGATTTTTGTCTACCCCCATTAGCTCCGGCGAATCCAGATTTTGAGGAATGATAAATTTTTATTCTTCATTGGGGGAGATATCTTCACCTTGGATGGAGATGAATTGCCGAGGGGTGAGCGCTTGGGGTTGGGTCAGTGGGTCAAGTTGGGGTCAGGACCAACAGAGGACTGTTACTCGGTTTTTACCGTGTAGAGACAGGATGAGGTCAGATTGCGGTATCTGGAGCGTTACAAGAAAAGGGAGGAAATCGTATCGGAACACGAGATTTCCTCGACTCCACGTGTTTTGTTTTATTGCATTCTGTTGTTTTCACTGGGAGAAAAAAGTTGGGGAAAAATTAGCGACGAAGGCTAGTAGTCGCGCAGCGAAACTCCTTTGTAGATGTTTTTGACTTCATATCAAAGTAAAAAATGTACTGGTGTCAGGTGATTTGTCCTCAAGTCATCAAATTTGTCCGTAATTTAATGAAAAATTACGCCAGCAAACGTAAATAATTATCCGATGTATTGGAATTTTTTCTGTATCGGAGAAGAAAAGTTTGGATTTTCAGGGATCTATCCCTAATCATTGGGGACATGACAATGATTTTTAGGAATCTATTCACAATTATGAGGGATTCGCGATTGTGAAATTCAAAAAAGTCTAAAATTTTGAAATTCAGTGACATTATCAAGAATTCTCAGTGACAGGGTTACTAATTATAAGAGAATCTCTAATTTTTAAGAATCTAGTTTCCAAATTTCAGTGAGAGAAATCAGTGATGATTAGGCTTATTCTAGTCAGTGTCTAGTATCACCAATAATTGGTGATAGATTTCTAAAAATCAGTGACATATCCCTGGAAATGAGGAAGATGTTCCTGAAAATGAATTTTTTTTTCTCTGTTGTACACCAAAAAATACTGTACAGGTGGTTAAAATTTTGCGTGCACAGGAAATCATGATTTTTACTTTCACGCATGTTATTTTTTTTACAGAATCAGTTGCAAAATATCCTTCATTTGAAGTGTTTTTATGCTTTACAGGCGGTAAAAGTCTAGTTTTTCACATAATTCATCTCTAATTTTTACGAATCTACTACCAAATTTCAGTGATAGAAATCACTGATAACTAGGTTTATTCTCGTCAGTGTCTAGTATCAACAATAATTGGTGATAGATTTCTAAAAATCAGTGACATATCCCTGGGAACCAGGAAAATGTTCCTGGAAATGACAATTTTTTTGCTCTGTGTCGTTCGTCAAAAAATATTATACGGGTGCAAGAAATTTTACTGTATAGGAAATTGTATTTTTTGGTTCCACACATCTAATTTTTTTTACTGAACCAATTATGCATATCCTTCTTCTTTTATCATAATTTTTCCTTAACTCTTCTCGCCGTGTAGGTGATTGAGAAGAATATATCATTCATAATGACGATCCGTGATATTCATGAACCCTTTTGTTTTCCAACCGTTGAATAACGAGTTTTTTTATTCAGCGAGCCAATTTCCAGGGGAAACTCTGTCGTTTTTCGTCGATTAATCGCTAATGAAACTGAAGTTTATAAACCGTGTTAAATACGTGCAGAGATATAAAATAGCGAAATTTTTTTGGAACGAGACAAATGGAGCATTGAAACAGTGTCAAGACCACTGAGGAGTTGAGTCACTCAGGCCTCTTGAGCACATGAATGCTAACGAAACTTTTTTTTTATATATTAGGCAGCATCTGAACAATTGTATCTGTAATCCAAGGGGGAAATCATCATCACACCCCTAAATACTCAAACTAATTAGGCGGAAAGAATTCAGTGCGTGAGTGGGAATCGCCAGTCTTTTTGAACATGAAATTTATTTCCATATCAAGTACTTTCTAGCGAGTTAATAACATTAGTTATTTGTAATTTCAGAAAATTTTTTCCAGTTGTAGAACAGGTTCTCTCAAGATTTTACAGAAAAATGTGCAAGGCTTTACCTTTCTCAACTATTGATCCAAGTCATTTGATTGAAACAAGGAAAATTTGCTTTGTGAATGAAAAATAACGAGAAGTCAAAGAAATCATTGCAGTCCTGAACAATTCTAAGAAATTCAATGAGCAGATAATTATTTCATGAAATTCAGTTTTTAAATGATGAAACTCAACGTCTTTATTAATCATTCATTATTTCGATAACGTGTGATTGAAGAGGAAAATGCCACTCCACATTTTTTGTAAAAATTTTTTCAGTTACAAGAGAACTCTTCTGATATTTTTCCTATAATTTACAAATTGCCTAGATGAATTCATATTTTTTTCATTCACGATTGAAAAACTGGCAACAATTTTATTAACCTAATTTTGAAGGCAAATTCAATTGTCCAGTGAAAAAAGTAAGTTTTTAAGAACGATTCATAAAAAACAATTCTAACAAATTAATAAAATTCAACCCAACATCATTATTGATCGCTCATTATCTCGATAGCACGTGTTTCTAGAGAAAAGCGTCATGACATAATTTCAATAGAAAATTTTCCAACTACTAAAAAACTCCTCTGACATCTCGCCCAAACGCAATTACAAAAAATTTCCATTTCGACTCATTGCCCTCAATAATCTCTCCCAAAATATTCTCCCAAATCGTCGAACAAAATTTCCGACAAAATCACAAGCCCCAAAAATCCACCCGAAGACCCAGAGAGAACGCGTCAAACGGAACAGTCCGACATTCTCCCGATGTTTAACAGTATCACAAAATAAATCCCCTCTCCCCTCCTTTTTAAATGAACGATCGATTTCTCTCTCCAGTCCGACCTACATCGAAATTAGTGTCTATCAACCGTGAGCAATGAGATTATTAGTCCTCTTCTTCTCGCTTCAGTGGAGGGGAAACCCAGCCTGACCGCCCCCCCCCCCTTCCCCCGGTGTACGTTGAATGGTACTGAGAACATTATGGAAGCTAATGTGGGTAATAATTTGATCATAAGAATAATCATTTCGCTGGTGAATTCGTTCGTACGGAAAATGAATGATGAATGATGTAACTGATTATAAACAGTTTATATAATTCATCAGATTTATGACCAATCACAATTATGATTGGTCAGCAATAGTCTTGCGGTCTTGAGTTTTCACAAAGAGGGTTTGGCAAACCAAGAAAGTTCTCCCCAAGTAGCGAATGACAATGAAATCCTCGTAACGTTCATTATTCACGAAATTTTATTTTTCTGGGTGAAGGTGAGGTGAAGAGAGATGAGCAAGGACAGGGTAATAATGTTGTGTCAAAATAAAATGCAAAAACACCAAGAAGGCCTAATAAAAATGATAATGTGGAGGGAAAGAAAAATATATTCAAACAAAAAGGAGAAACACGAGGTGAAGCGTGCTGGCTGACTTGACACACGTACCTTCGGCACAGCTTGCGAGGAACTTGCCGTCACTGGAGAAATTCATGTCGAGGACAGGCCCAGTGTGACCCTTGAGTGCGCCCACCATCCACGAGTGCGTGAACTCCTGTTGTGCCTCACGACGTTTTTTATTTTTAGCTCTTTTACCACCACCAGTGGAAATGGCTTGACTATTACCAGATGTAGATGTTAATGGCTCAGAATTTTCCGACTCTACGTGGACCTTGGTATCTTCGGACACATCTGTAACATGACAAATAATATAGCAATTATTGGGAGAATTCAACCGATTGGAAAATTGTGGGTTTTATTGGATGAGAGAGATCGGGCAAGGTCGTTGTTCAATAGGTGGCCTTCAGGAAAAATAGAGCCTTCGGCTTGACTAGGAAGTGTTGGAAGCCTAATCAATATTTATTATCTCAATCACTTGTGCCGATTGAATTATCCGGAATTTAAACGAACGGGAGCATTCTGCTCGAATTTTGTTTTTTATTCTGCGTTTTTATTGGAATTAAGTGGTTTTAGGATGTATGGGAGGAGCCTATTTCGTAGCTGGAAAATTTTTCTATAAAAAATAAATGAAAATGGAACCTTCTTTGTAGAATAATTGCGGATGGCCGCGTGAAAAGTTTGTGGATAAAACTTTGTCGATGTGGAGTTGTATACTTCGGTAATATTGATAACATTCCGCACATTTCAAGCCCAAAAAGAAATTGAGCGCGTAGAAAAGGACTTTGCTACAGAAGATCAAAGAAATAATTTAACATTGGTTTAAATGTGAGTTGCAAAGAGAAAAATGTGAATATCTCGGAAACTAGATGCGATGTGGGCCCTTTTCCTGGGGACGTACACAATTATTGACATAATTGGTCATAAACTCCAGTAGTAAAGTGATGAAACGGGACAAATCGATTGATATATATCCGTGGCTAACTGAGTATTTGAGGTTTTTACGAAAGTCTTTACATTTTGAGGTATTTTTTTTTAAACATGTGAAGACGAAGTATCTTATCTCGTCTTGCTAATGAGTTTTTTAAAAATATCTTTGAATTGAAGGGAAATACCAAACATACTTAAAACAGAAAAGCCATTATAAACATTAGTTTATGTTGTGACCATTACATGATTTTAATGGAACAAAATGCGATCTATTCTTGCCTGTGAGAAAAAATAATTGTATTGATGTGCGCTTCCAACGCTACGTGTTCAATACTACTATACGCGTCCGTGAATCCCTGCCTACGGCCATATTTGTCAGAAAACCTTCTTTCGTCCTAGTGACGAAAAATGCTATTAAAAAAAAGGGAGGTGTTGGAAATTGTATAAGAAATGTTAGATGCCGAGATATCTTTTACAAAACAAAAGTTCACAAGTTTTGATAAATAATTATTCTTCAATGTAAGAGAGAATTACTTTGCCTCACTTTGCTCTAAAAAAGTCAACCGTTTCCCTCAGATTCTGGCATATAATCCAAAAACTAATCTTTCCGAAACTGAAATTGAATTTGCCGTACTGACATTCACATTAGCCGTTCCCGAAACTCATAAAAGTGAAAATTACTACGGAAAGATGTTGTTCACGGCTAGTGCCATAGAGTTTTTTTCCTCACGTGGTTGGTCAGTCCTCGACTTCGGCTCGGACGCCAACGCGACACGAGTAACAAAAACCCCATCACAACAGTCCGGAAAAATACTATTTCGTCACTACTTCCTCACACGATCCCCAACAAAGTTACTTACACCACAAAAAACCCCTATACAAAAACGTAATAGTTGCCTACTTTTTCCAAATAACTAACCACGATTCTTCACTTTTAAATATTTTAAAACTCAGTGAAATAATCAAGTTTACCGTTTCCTCGAGAAAGTTGAATTTTCAGTGAATCACTGTAATTACTGTTCCTCTCGATACCTCGAGACGTCTTTCTGGTCTTTAGGAACGAAATCAGTGCAGAAATGATGAAAAAGTTGGTGAAACTGTCAGAAGTGCTCTGTCCAAAATTGAAATTTTGGAAAATGCTAGGTCTGTGGCCTAAGGGATCTTGTAAGGACGAGCTGTTGCACATAACTGGTCATCCCCCAAGAAAACACTTCCCTCGGTACCTCTCCATTACCTGTCTCCCCCTCCTCTAACTACCGCCCTCTTATCTCAATCACCGACAAGCCTGGATTAACGTGTAAATGACCCTTTTCAAATTCCTCGGACATTCCAATGTGCCTCGTGTTATAACTGTCACGTTGTATCGCAAATTTTTATTAGTCATGACACAAATCGTCTGCTATTACATTTTCGCTCAATAGAATTATGATTCATCCGCAGAACGTGCCAGTCAGGGTTTGTTTGCACTATTTACCTGCGTAGTACGCCATTTTACGTCGGATTTTTATTCATGATGGTTAAACAATTCCGGCTATTGTATTGTTTTGCGAGACGAGAACAGTTGGGCAAATAAGAACTGCCGTCTTCATGTTTGAAGAGGTGTTAAATAGAGTCAATATATGAAGGACGAAACATCACTTTTTGATCGTTTTTTTCTGGGGAATGAAGGATGGTTTAAACGCGGATGGGACATTGAACTATTAGAATAGGTAACCTTCAAGGGGGATATGTTTGACAAAATTACTCGGGCGGAATCAATTTGCATTACGCTGTTCACTAATTATAACTATGGAAAAATGACCAGGCAATTGAAAACAATTGCGTGGAATTTTTAGAAAACTTCCTGTTCAATGAGTCTACTCAGAAAGAAAAGTTTCTAGCTATTGTACCCTTCTTTATGAATTTATTTATTTATTTTCATTCCCGTATAGCCGATTAGGCTTTTAATGGTCCCATCCCACCACCCAGCCCTTATTGCGGTGTCATGGGCCGACTTCCTCCCCCATCATGTCGCATTGTACCCCAGGAGCTGTACTCAGTACTTTGTAGTTGTTAATTGGATAAAGGAACTAGAAAAAATATGACGATTTTAAGGTTCGTTGCATTATTGGATGATTTATTAAACAGATAGATTTCAATGCAATGAAAACATGTTTGACAGAATTACTTGTGCGGAATGAATTAGCATTATGCAATTCACCCATTAGAACTTTGGAAAAATAACCAGACAATTGAAACCAACGTCGTGGAATTTTTAGAAAACTTCCTGTTCAATGACTCTAAACAGAAAAAAAGCTGCTCGCTCGTTGTCATCAATTTCATTCCGGTCTTTGAAATTTTAAAATTATAAAATTCAATTCATGAAATTTTATAATGCTGCAAATCAATATTGACCCAAATGATCTTATCAAAACGAAGGCAGAATTCTCTTGATGTCATTATCATGAATTTCATCATCATTAATCATCATCCTTTATCACCTGAGTAAAGAAGGAAATATGATGAGTTTAGCGTTCTTTGCGCTATTCAATGATTTGACGAACAGATATATTTCAATGTGATGAGAACATATTCGACACGACGTAATTCACCCATTCGAGCAATCGTAAAATAATCAGACAATCGAAGACAATTCCATGGAATTTACGAAAAACTTCCTAATCAATAGCTCAAACTAGGAAGACAACTCTCGTCATTCAACACGTCTTTTCCATCAATTTCTTTCGGTTCTTTGAACAATTTTATAAAAGTTGAATCATGAATTTTTATAATCCTACAAATAAATATTGACCCGAATTATCTTATCAAAATGAAGGCAGAATTCGTCTTATGAATTCAATACAACAAAAAGTTGAAGAGATTATCATCACTTGAATAACGAAAGGAATAAGAAAAAAGGATGATTTTAGGGTTCTTTCCCTGTTGAATGATTTGACGACAAGATATCTTTCAATATAATGAGAACATGTTCGACAGAATTACCCGTGTGGAATGAACTATCAAGACACAATTCAGTGATTATAACAATCGAAAAATAGCCGGACAATGGAAGACAATTCCGTGAAATTCTGGAAAGCTTCCTAATCAATAACTGAAACCTGAAAGGAAACCCTTTCGCCATTGAAACCCTCTTCACGACAGTGCCAGACGAATCCTTGACCTGGCTTGTCACATATCACGATAATCTTCAACGGTAGGCAACTACCTGATGAACGAGTTTCGTGCCGATCTAATAATTGAGCCAATAAAGCGTAAGCGGTATTGTTAATATATTCCAGAATACCAAGGGGTGGTGGACAATTGTCGCCCCTGGATACCATCGATTCGTTATGTCTCGTAGTTTTCCACCCGTAAAATCACTTTTCCCATGAGTTGAAAGCAAAACGAAATAACTTTCGAAGAGCACCAAAATTAGATAAAAATTAGATAAAATGAATGCAAACAGGGGGTGAATGTATAACAGGCTTATCTGCAGCACACATCTCGGCAAAAATAAATTATCGTAGAAATTATTCAGGGCATTTTGCAAATGACCTACATGCCAGAATAAAAAATTCAAACACGAGAAGGACTTTTCCCACTAAAACCTATTTTGAAAGCAAGTTATTGCTCTTGATGAGATTAACAACAAGAATTTTCCGGGCATTTTGCTGTAAAAACAGTCGAGCGCGTCACGGAGTCTCCAAAAAAATGGGGATAAAAAATTCCGCGGAGACACAAATGTTATTCTACATTGAATTATGTTTGTAAACAGGCGGCGAAAACACTGCAATTTGCTGCGCATTATTCTCAATCTCCATTGCTAGCAGTCGATCACCTTTTACAATAAGTGATAAGTTGATAATGAAAATACCCGACCGTGCACAACGTTACACCTGGAAAAATATCCCATGTATTTTCGATATCTGAATTTTCTGACATTTTCGTTCAATAATATTTTCATTTTATTGTGTTTGACGAGACCAGACATTTGCTTTCCGAAATTTATATTATTCAGATGTATACACAATTCGTCCATAGCCTCGAATTGCGCAATGTCAATTGTACTCGCGAGTTATTATCTCCCAATATTGTATGCTTATGCGAGGAAATGAAATTCACTATCGAATGATGAAATTTCAAACTTGTTCAATCATCAACATCGCGTGATCGAATGATGCGATTTAGATGAGTCAGGGCTCAGTTTGAAGCTTGAAAAAATATCTTAAACATGAAGAAAAAATTGAAAATTTTCACTCTGCCAATCTCGAGCTATTGGAGATGGTTCGTTTTGTTCTCCAGTTCGGAGGGTTATTCACTGTGCAAATGGCATCAGACAGTTTCGCCCGATGAGTCACCCCAAGGAACAGCTCACTCAAAAAATT